GGAATGTTCCCTGGAGAAGGGAAGGATCCAGGGAATCCTCAGAGCCCTGGGAATGTTCCCTGGAGAAGGGAAGGATCCAGGGAATCCTCAGAGCCATTCCAGGGCCTGGAGGGGCTCCAGGAGAGCTGGAGAGGGATTTGGGATAAGGGATGGAGGGACAGGAGCCAGGGAATGGCTCCCACTGCCAGAAGACAGGGATGGGTGGGATACTGGGAAGGAATTCCTGGCTGGGATGGAATTCCCAGAGAAGCTGTGGCTGCCCCTGGATGCCTGGAATATCCAAGGCCAGGCTTGGAGCAGCCTGGGATAGTGGGAAGTGTCCCTGCCCTTGGGATGAGCTTTAAAATCCCTTCCAAACCCAATCCAAGCCATTCTGGGATTTGAGGATTCCAAACCTCGGGAAGAAAAGCTTTTCCATGGGCTGGAAACCCTTGGATCGAGGCAATCCCTCAAAATGGCGCCAGATTCCCTTTGCAGAACCGAGAGGAAAAATGCCCCAACCCCACCTCAGGATCCAAGCAGATCCCAGGATTTACCATCCCAAAAAACCCCCTCAGATCCCGGGTTTCTGCAAAGCCAGGGAAGCCGCTCCCCTTGGAATTCCCTGAAAACCAGGAAGAGGGTTTGGAATAAAAGTATTTATTGTTCATCTTGCAGGGACACACAGAAAGCCAATTCCCACCCTATCCGTGAGGAAATCCCCTTTTCCCCCCATTCCCACATGGAAAACATTCCAGAATTCCCTCACACCCCAAAGCAGCTGGGATGTGAATTCCCACTGCTCCCGGGATTTTGGGTGACTCTGGAATGTTCTGGCAGCTCAGTGACACACTTAAATATTCCAAATTCGTTCTTGCCAGAAGAAATCCATATTCCCAAGGTTTTCCTGGTTCCAGTAAAATCGGGAATGGCCAAAAACACCCTTAAAGTGCTGGACTGCAGCTCGGAATAGCAGCGGTTGGGTCTCCCAAAAGAGAGGGAATGACCGGAAAAGTTGGATTTGGGATGAAAAAACTGGGAAAACACTGGAAAAGCCTCCCAGGGAAAAGCCTGCTGGCACTGTCGGTAATGATCCGGCTCCGTTTGGAACTCCAGAGGGACCTTTTGGATTTCCCTGAACCTATGGAAAAGGACAGATCTATCCAGAAGTTCTTTGGGATCACCAATGGAACCATTTCCCAGCTTCCCTAAAAACCTCCGGGAATGAGCACAAAGCGGTTCCTGAGGAGCAGTGGCAGCAGAGCATTCCTCAGGCTGGGAAAATCCGGGATTCCAGCAGGAAAAATTCAGGGTTTCCTGCGCCTGCAATGGGAAAGAGACACAAAGAACTCTCAGGATTCATCCAGAGGAATTTTGGGAGCAGCCAACCCCCCATTCCCAGGTTTTGGCACTCCCAGTTCCCACACACAGCTCCTAAATAATCCAAGATTTAATCCAAGGAAACTCCATGAAATCCAGTGTTTTCCTTGGATTTTTAGGCAGGAGTAGCAAACCAAGTTTTGATTCCGGCTCCTCAATTCCCTCTTCCCACAGGGAGTTGGAATTTCCCAATGGATAACGTCAGCAAGGGGTTGAAGGTTCAGGAGAGGGAATCCAGGCCATTCCCAACCCTGTTCCAGTCAGGAATGAAAACCCAGAGTGGGAAGGGCAGTGAAGTTGGGAAAAGCACTCCTGAATTTTGGAAGTTGTCAGGAAAGAATTCCAGGAGCACTTCCTTGAGCTGGGCACGGAGCTGGAATTCCCAGGGATGCCTTATGAATAATTTGGGAAAGAGGGAATTCTCCAGAGCTTCCTTAGTGGTTCCATAATTATGCAGTTGGAATTTTAGCAGGAATTCGACCGCAATTCCTTCTTCCCAAAGGGAACTGGAATCCCAGGAAACTGGAACTTCCCAATCCCGAGAAACTGGAACTTCCCAATGGATAACGAGAGCAAAAGGTTAAAGGGGCAGGAGAGGGAATCCAGGGCNCCCAACCCCACCTCAGGATCCAAGCAGATCCCAGGATTTACCATCCCAAAAAACCCCCTCAGATCCCGGGTTTCTGCAAAGCCAGGGAAGCCGCTCCCCTTGGAATTCCCTGAAAACCAGGAAGAGGGTTTGGAATAAAAGTATTTATTGTTCATCTTGCAGGGACACACAGAAAGCCAATTCCCACCCTATCCGTGAGGAAATCCCCTTTTCCCCCCATTCCCACATGGAAAACATTCCAGAATTCCCTCACACCCCAAAGCAGCTGGGATGTGAATTCCCACTGCTCCCGGGATTTTGGGTGACTCTGGAATGTTCTGGCAGCTCAGTGACACACTTAAATATTCCAAATTCGTTCTTGCCAGAAGAAATCCATATTCCCAAGGTTTTCCTGGTTCCAGTAAAATCGGGAATGGCCAAAAACACCCTTAAAGTGCTGGACTGCAGCTCGGAATAGCAGCGGTTGGGTCTCCCAAAAGAGAGGGAATGACCGGAAAAGTTGGATTTGGGATGAAAAAACTGGGAAAACACTGGAAAAGCCTCCCAGGGAAAAGCCTGCTGGCACTGTCGGTAATGATCCGGCTCCGTTTGGAACTCCAGAGGGACCTTTTGGATTTCCCTGAACCTATGGAAAAGGACAGATCTATCCAGAAGTTCTTTGGGATCACCAATGGAACCATTTCCCAGCTTCCCTAAAAACCTCCGGGAATGAGCACAAAGCGGTTCCTGAGGAGCAGTGGCAGCAGAGCATTCCTCAGGCTGGGAAAATCCGGGATTCCAGCAGGAAAAATTCAGGGTTTCCTGCGCCTGCAATGGGAAAGAGACACAAAGAACTCTCAGGATTCATCCAGAGGAATTTTGGGAGCAGCCAACCCCCCATTCCCAGGTTTTGGCACTCCCAGTTCCCACACACAGCTCCTAAATAATCCAAGATTTAATCCAAGGAAACTCCATGAAATCCAGTGTTTTCCTTGGATTTTTAGGCAGGAGTAGCAAACCAAGTTTTGATTCCGGCTCCTCAATTCCCTCTTCCCACAGGGAGTTGGAATTTCCCAATGGATAACGTCAGCAAGGGGTTGAAGGTTCAGGAGAGGGAATCCAGGCCATTCCCAACCCTGTTCCAGTCAGGAATGAAAACCCAGAGTGGGAAGGGCAGTGAAGTTGGGAAAAGCACTCCTGAATTTTGGAAGTTGTCAGGAAAGAATTCCAGGAGCACTTCCTTGAGCTGGGCACGGAGCTGGAATTCCCAGGGATGCCTTATGAATAATTTGGGAAAGAGGGAATTCTCCAGAGCTTCCTTAGTGGTTCCATAATTATGCAGTTGGAATTTTAGCAGGAATTCGACCGCAATTCCTTCTTCCCAAAGGGAACTGGAATCCCAGGAAACTGGAACTTCCCAATCCCGAGAAACTGGAACTTCCCAATGGATAACGAGAGCAAAAGGTTAAAGGGGCAGGAGAGGGAATCCAGGGCGTTCCCGCTGCCATTCCTGATATTCCGCTTCGGAATGCAAACCTGATGTGGGAAGGGCAGCAAAGTCAAGGGGGGAAAGCATTCCCGAAGTTTGGAAGTTGTCGGGAAAGAATTCCAGGAGCACTCACTTGGGCTGGGCGTGGTGCTGGAATCCCGGTCCCAGCGCCGATCCCGCCCTCATCTCCACGGCCACGGAACACTGGGAATGCAACCCAAGTCAGGATCCGCCGCTTCCCACCCTTCCCAGCTCCCAGCATTCCCAAATCCTCAGCCAGAGGGGTTTGGATCCCCCGGCCCGGAATGTCCAAGGCCAGGCGGGACGGAGCAGCCCGGGAATGGCTGGATTGGGATGAGCTGGAGCTCCCTCCCAGCCCAAGCCAGGCCAGAATTCCAGGATCCAGGATGACATTCCCGGCTCACCCTGGTTTCCACGTCCGTCCATTCCGAGTCCGCGGCGTCCCCGGCGGGGTCGGGATCGGGAGGCGACGAGCGGCGCTTCCGCCTGGAATGGGAATTGGTGGAATTACGGCACAAACCTCACGGAATTTGCCGCATTCCAACACTGGAAAACCTCTTTAGTGTTCCTTAATAAATCTTGGATCCAGCAGCTCCAGCAGCCATAAATTTCTCCAAGTTTATGGGATCTCAAGCTGGATTTTCCCATTGGATCACCTGGCCTGGAAAAGGTTCCATGCACACACCGGGAATTCCAGGATTCCAGGAGCTCAAATTAAAGGCTCCATCATTGGAACTTTGGGAATTCCAGGACTCCAGAAGCTCAAATGAAAGGTACCACGACTGAAATTCTGGGAATTCCAGGATTCCAAAAGCTCAAGTTCAAAGGTTCCACAAGTGGAATTTTGGGAATTCCAGGACTCCAGAAGCTCAAATGAAAGGTACCACGACTGGAATTCTGGGAATTCCAGGATTCCAGAGGCCGGACTCACCCGGTGGGAGATTCCTGCTTGAGGGTCTCAATGTCCGTGAACTGCACGGCCTGGCCCCCACCTCTGGTCTTGAACACGTCCCCCTGGAATGGGAAAAGGACAAGGAAAAGCGGGATTGGGAGAGGAACAGCGCCGGGATTCATCCCAGAATTCCAGCCCAAAGAGATACAGACACAAATAAGCTCCTCCCATTTCACTGCCAATGGATTGTTGCCTTTTTCCACAGGAAAATGCACAAATCGTGGGATCCACGGATCACGGGATCCCAAAAATCATGGAACCCCATAAACTGTGGGTTTCACAAACCATGGAACCCCACAACCCATGGAATTCCACAAATCGTGCGATTCACGAATCACGGAACTGTGAAAACTCCAAACTAAATTTCAGAGATTCCAAAGCAACATTCCCAAGATTCCCAAGGTCACTTCGAGGAGCTCGGTCTGGATCTCAACCTTGCGCCCAGCCTGGAGCACTGAGTGCCACATCCGGGAATTCCTTGGGCATTCCTTGGGAATTTCCCAGGGATGGGCACTCCAAACCTCCCTGGGCAACTCCACTGCCTGACCACCATTTTCCATGAAAAAATTCCCACTGAATTTCTGATGGAAAACACTGAGCTAGCTGAGCCTGGAACAGCCCCAAGCACACATCAACCAAGATCCAAACCAAGAGTTTCTATGGAAAACCTCTGGACCTAACCGTGAAAGATCCAAACCAAACTTCGGCAATTCCAACACAATATTCCCAACATTCCCAAGGTCACTTTGATGAATTCACTCTGGATCTCAACATTGCCTCCAACCTGGAGTGCCGAGTGCCACATCCAGGAATTCTTTGGGTAATTTAAACAGAGTTCCAGTGATTCCAACACAACATTCCCAAGGTCATTTTGATCCAGCTGATTCTGGATCTCAACATTGCCTCCAGCCTGGAACGCTGAGTGCCACATCCAGGAATTCTTTGGGTAATTTAAACAAAATTCCAGCCATTCCAACCCAACATTCCCAACATTCCCAAGGTCACTTTGATGAGTTCACTCCAGATCTCAACCTTGCCCCCAGCCTGGAGTGCCACATCCAGGAATTCCTTGGGTAATTTAAACAAAATTCCAGCCATTCCAACCCAACATTCCCAACATTCCCAAGGTCACTTTGATGAATTCACTCTGGATCTCAACCTCGCCTCCAGCCTGGAACGCCGAGCGCCACATCCAGGAATTCCTTGGGTAATTTAAACAAAATTGAATTTAAACAAAATTCCAGCCATTCCAACGCAACATTCCCAAGGTCACTTTGATGAGTTCACTCCGGATCTCAACCTCGCCCCCAGCCTGGAGCGCCGAGCGCCACATCCAGGAATTCCTTGGGTAATTTAAACAAAATTGAATTTAAACCGAATTCCGGCCATTCCAACGCAACATTCCCAACGTTGCCGGGATTGCCGAGGTCACCTTGATGAGCTTGGTCTGGATCTCCCCGTCGGAGGCGAGCTCCTGGTGGGTCAGCAGGTAGCGGTCGCAGCGGGCCAGGGCGCGCTCGCTGGGCGCCTCCACGGTGATGGCCCTGGGCACGCGCGGCTGCAGCAGCGTCTCCGTGGGCACGTGGCTCGGCGGCCGGTGATCCACCCAGCGCTCGCCGGCGCTGCGGGAACGCCGCGGCCGCAGCGGCGCCACCGGAGCGGCCTGGAACGGGAA